TTAAAAAAAAAACTATTTTTATTTTATTTTTAACAAATTTTATTTATCAAAAAATGTTATTTTCTTTAAAAAACTAAACTTATTTTAAAAGGCTGTTTTACTTAAAAAAAAAATTCTTCCAAAAAATGTTCTTTTCTTTTTTTTTTATTAAATATAGTTTCTTTTATTAAAAAAATTATTAACAAAACTCTCTGCAAAACAAACCACTTTATTCCAAATAACTGGTAAAACTTACTCTTTTTTTAACCCTTATTTTCAGGGGACAAAACCTTAAACTCTCAATGGGTAGGAAGCAGCCTAAAACATCTTGAATTTCCAGTATCAAAGAAAGCATAAAAAAAAAAGAGAGAGAGAAAGAGAACCCACCTTGCCCACCTATATGGAGAAATGTGTGGGTCTATTTGTTGGAATGTTGAGAATGCAATCGTAACGTCAATGCCCGCTACTTCAAGTCGTCGGAGCTTGCACCGTCGCTGCAGCTTGCGAGTATCGTCGGATCTCGGTGCTGTGTAAAGTAAAAGAATGTTCTTTTACTATTTCCCCTCCTTTCTTCCCATTTTTTTTCTTTTGAGCTCTCCTTTTGATGAACATTAATCCTCTTTTTATAGGGAAAAACAACGGAGTGTTTAACAAAAGGTAGAGAGAAAAAAGGGAAAGATACCCAACCTACGAACTATTTGACTAAAAGACTTATTCAAAACTAAATACCTTTTCTCCTTTTAGATAAAAAAACAAAAAACAAACAAAACAAAAAAAAACAAAAAACTTTGTTAAATACCAAAATGACCGTTTTCAAGTTATTTCTTTATTTTTTTTTCTTTTCATAACAATAATTAAATAATCTAATTTTTAATTTAATTTTTGTTATCAGTTAGAAAAATAAATTCTTTAATCAAATTCAAATTAATTACAACCTACTTAACATAAATAAAATACTAAAAATAAAATTAAGTTGGACCAGATACGGTGCGTACACCTCACATTTATCATAATTATCATAATTGACACCTCCATGACCCTTGATATCATTGTTACTCTGGATGGATCATGTTTCTAGGAGTACGAAAAGAGGAAACTAAATTCTAATGGTGACACATAATCTTGAATGCAAACTTTAAAGACTTTAATGGCCAAAAAAATACCAAAATGAGAGCATCTCCAAATCAAGGAAATAAAAGGATTCTCACATGGCTTAGAATTATCGTTGAAGTGAAAGCATAAATAAGAGAATATTCAAATGTAACTGAATATCATAGTTATCGACCTATGGTCCTATGGTACATCCAAATCCGAAGAAGAATGCAATATATTCCATCTCTTAGATGAAGGTAACTTCTTATACTCAAAAGTCTTGTACCTCATTTTATTCATTGCATTGTCTGTTCTCAGAAAATCCATAAGCCCTGTTACATAGAAGATAACCAAAAAAGTTCATCAAAGCCAATGTAGCACATAACCAGTAAAAATAATCCAAGTGACCCTTATTGAGATTGTTATCCAACCATCTTGTCTCATTTCCTTCTCCTGTTATGTCATTTACCATCTACACATGAATGTTTCGTGATAAGCCACACACCCGTGCCACATTCACTCAGGTAAATAATTCAAATATTAGGTCACTTATTGTTTTTTCCCCCTCAAATTACACTCTTTCACATTCTCACGTAAATTCTATAAATAGGATCTTCATAAATAAATTATCACCTGTTGATGTGTGGATTTTGACCTTTCGATTCACCTTCTCGCACGCACTCAACTTGATGATCAGGGAACTAGAACCTGCAAAACCGAATCAACTTAAACCAGTGTGACCTTAGTCACATGGGCTCCGTGCCTAAGTTAGCAAAGGGGAGTTGAGAAATGGTGAGTTTCCAGTTTATTACCTACCCCTTAGGGTTAGGCTACATTGCTTACTTATAGGTGTGGGAATTGTTCCAGAACCTTCTATAGTGGAGCCCTAATTTGTAGTTACAAGGCCAAAAGGGAATCATCGATCAAAGGCGGGTGACCTCCGAGCTTGACCGTGGGCCGAGCAGAGGTCGGGACTGAGTCTTGCTCGGTCTGGTCTGCTTCTCCCCCGGTTGCTTCCCGAGTTCCTTCTGATCTGTAGTCGACCAATTGCTAATTTTCTGTGTATAACAATTGCCCCTACTCCTAAGGTGATGTTTTCGAATTTGTCTTCATCTCCTTGGGAGTATGCTACATTTTTTGTCGTGATTTGCCTTCCTAGGTCAGACTCGTGATCGAGGAGGTCACGGGTTCTTCGGGGACCGTGCTCCTTACCACGTACACTTCTCTTTATTTGTTTTTGGTTGTGTTTTTCTATTATCATGGATGATCTTAATTTCGAGTGGACCTCCTCAGATGATGGATCATCGTCGAATCCGTCATCTGAATCTCGACCCTATCGTCCGTCTTGGGTGGATAACTCCACTCTTACGGCGAGGGACCTTCGTCACTTGCGTTCAAAGTACTGTATCCCGGATTCGGTTAGCCTTTCGTCTTCCAAATCCGGGAGAAAGTATCGACGGATCTTTTCCTGGTGAGGTTGTTTATGCAGCCATGTTCCAATTTTGAGTTCGTCTACCATTGCCTCTTTTTCTTCAAAATTTCTTAGCTTTCAATCAAGTAGCTCCTTCCAAAATCGTTCCGAATAGATGGTCTACCTTGAATAGTTGCTTTATTTTGTGGTCGTACCTCAAGGGCGAGCAACCTTTAACCGCCGCGGATTTCATGTCGTTTTATTACCTCAAACATAGTCCCGAGGATAACTTTCACTTTTATGTTAGTTCTCGAATCAGATTCTTGTTATGGGTCCTTCCTCGGTGAAGCATTAGAAGGACGAGTAGTTCATTGTCGGTGGCGATTCGCTAGCCCGTGACGAGAGAGGACTATTCTTTCCTGTCCTAACTGAGTGTAGGAAGTTAGGTAAGTAGATTCTCGAGCTCTATCGGGACTTTTGTAGACGTCTATTCTGACTCTTACCTTTCTTTATTGACAGCTCCTCGTAACTGTGAGCTTACTGTCAAGGCGTTTAATTTCTATCATACTGTCACTCATTTACCATATACCGAGCGTTGAGGCCCAGATCTGGTTAAGGAGCAAAACTTGGTAGACTTTGGCTTGGCTCCCCTCACAATCCTCCAAGTAATTGTCGAAATATGTTCTTCATTTTGCGTGAAAGTCGATTTTTATTTCTATCTCTACTCGTAGAAATGTCGAGAAGGAGCACCTTCTTGTATGAAAGAGAATACTGTCGAAATTATTGGAGCTCATGGCCTGGTTCTAGTTGCGCTTCAAATATCGAAGTGACTGATTTGATCGAGGAATAACCCCTTTCTCAGCAAGCTGGATCCTCCATGCCCCCTACAGCCCCGAGGCGTTCTGCCCGACTCCAAGGGACGTCTATCCCGTCTGCCTCTCGTGGTCATCCAGGGAGCTCTTCTCAGGCTTCAATCTTTCCTTTCTCTGGCCCGTACAATGTTGATGTCGATGGGGCAACCTACCCGGAAAGGGCATTTAGCCTTTGGCAAGGGCTCGGTGAATCATCGAGCGGGTCAAATTTTGGTCTATCAAACCCTCAGCACAACATCAGCACATGCCTCAGCGACCTCCATGCGGTGAGCACTTTGTAACTTCAAGTATTTATCATTGCATCTCCCGAATGTCGGTTCCTGACCTTGGCAGGTTTTCAATCGTCTAGTGGTATTCTCGGGTCGGGTTGCCGATGAACTTAACCACCTCCGCTAGCACTATGCTTCTCGGGAAGAGTTAAATCAAGCTCTCTCTTCATTGGATTAGGCCAACAGCCTTATGGAGAATACCTGGCGTGAGCTGGAAACGGAGAAGAGAAAATCTCGAGATGAGCTGGCCAACTTGCAAAGGAGGCTTGATGAAGCCAATGCTCAACTCACTGATTCTGAATTCTTTGCCGGGAATTCAAGAAAACTCAGGAGTAAGTCGACTTGCAAAATTCCACCATAGAATGGCGTTTCCTGGTCCCTTCGCCAAGTTTCTAATACACACCCCGATATTGATTACTCCTTCCTTCTAAAGCGTTTTAAAGCTGAGCGTGACGCTCCTGTCGACATGGACGACGATGACGATGAGTAGTAGGGTAGCCTGAGAGGGTAGCGAGTTGCTTTGGCTGTGTTTAGTGCTTTTACGAATTTTATGGCATTGCTTTTTCCTTTGTATTTCCTTTAGGAATCACCAATTAAGCCTCTATTACCAACAAATATTGGCTTACAGCTCTAACCCTGATGGAGGACTTTGTTGTCATTACTTACATAGGTTTCTAACCCTTTGGCTATGGCCAATGGTTTTGCACCTGCCGTTGTTTGGCCTTTGACTTTACTCCATCTTACGTTTTAACCGTGCTAGGTCAATTGACCCGCTTCTGGTTTGGCCGTGTTAAGATTGTTTAATCGTTCTTTCCAATTTTGTCGATGTTGAGTCGTGCCTTAATTGTAGTCTAATTATACACTAAGTAATAGGAAAGAAGAAAGTCGATGGCCCGAGCCTTGGTCGGCGCCGAGTAGGGCCTAATCCGAGCCCTGCTCGGCTTGGGCTGTTTTTACCAACCTGCCTCCTCGAGTCTTATGATTATGACCTATCGCTCTTATCTTATAGCTGTGATGCCCACTACTCTCAAGGTAGCGTATTGTCGATTTTTGCTCCTTGAGAGTATGTTTGTATATGAGACATGGTGTTTTTTATGAAGACAGAGTTGACAGGGAACCCAAATAATGGACACTTTATTGAATATAAGAAACCAATAATATAAAGTTTCCAGAAAACCAGAAAAAGAAACAATCTTAAGTCCATCACGCTCGTTAGTTGAAGAGAATGAGTAAAGAAAGAAAAGGAAATCAATGGCCTCCCACAGTAGAAGCCTTGTGGTTGCCCCTCATTGAAGTGTAGTAGCATTCGCGCGATACTCGTTGCTCTCCTTTGATCTCACCAATTCCGCCAGGTGTTGGGAATTTTATAGACTGGTGTTATGTAGATGGTATCGCCCTGAGCATGTGCATTGTTGGCCTACCCAATATCCCATTATAGGAGGATGCGTAGTCGACGACCAAAAAATATACCATTTTGGTGATGCTCTTTGGTCCACTCCTGAATGTCACTGGCAATTTTATTCTTCCTTCAGGAATGACTCGCTCTCCTCCAAATCTTACTAGCAGTGTCGGGCTACTCTTAAGACCTTTATCTCCTAGACTCATGGCTTTGTAGGCCGCTAGGAAGATGATATCTGCTGAGCTGCCCCCATCTACCAAGATCCGGTGCACCTTCGCATGGGCTATTTTCAGAATAATGACTAGTGCATCGTTGTGTGGGTGAAGGAGATGAGTCACTTGATCCTCTGAGAACTCAATTCTTGCTTGTGGTTTTACTACAAATTCGTGGTAAACCTCATGTTGCCAGAGGGTCGTCCGAGTCTCCTGCACGCTCGCTTTCCTCTTTTACCCGATTCTCTCTCTACTGGACCCCCCATTATTGTTCGAATTTCTCGAGCAGGTGTCTTACAGTCGTTCTCACTATTCTGCGTCGCTTTAGGGTCTTCCACATACTCTTTGAGATATCCTATCCGCATGAGTCCTTCCACTTCTTCTTTGAGATCGAAGCAATCCTGGGTGGCATTGCCGTGGTCTCGATGTTTAAGGCAATATCGCCCTTTACTTCTTTTACCAGGAGGTGCTTTCATCCTCTCCGGCCATTTAAGAAACCTGTGGCTTTTGATTTCCATCAACACCTATTCGAGTAGGACCATGGTCAGGGATCCTTCTAGCTGATCCGATCTCTCTTCTCCCATCTCGACGATTGAGACTTATCCCCGGATCTCTCCCTCTTTTGGTCGGACCGTTTTCCCTCGGGCTCTTTCTTTGAATGGAAGAATTCTCCCGTGCTCATATACTTCTGAGCTCGACTCAGTGCCTTCGAGAACGTGCTTGACGTCTTCTTCCCAAAAGAGAATGAAAGGTACTCGTCCTTGATGCCGAACATGAAGGCTAGTAGAGAAACTGCATCCGTGAGACCCTCAACCTGTAACTTTTCCTCATTAAATCTGGCCACGTCGTCGTGAAGGCTCTCCGTTGCCCTCTGTTTGATGGTCAGTAGAGAAGCTACAGGTCGGCTTCAACTTTGTTCTCCCACGAACTGGGTCACAAACTCCCTGACTAGGTTTTTGAAGCTCGAGATCGATCCTTGTTTCAGCTATCGAAATTACTCTAAGGCCGCGAACTGACTTTGGAGCTGTTCAGGGCCTATTATCGTAGGCACCTCGGGCTGTCCTTCTTGGTGCTCTGGGTTTTGTCGACTCAATCCCGTCTCGCCCTCGGGTCCTCCTATCAGGGGGTCATCCAAGTTTAACCTCCTCCTTGCGTGGCAGTCATTGTCAGAATCCCGTGGACTCCTCTCCGATGTCATGTTGTTCGGCTTGTTTTTTTTCGTTCCCACAGACACCGCCAAATGTTGAT